GAGTCGTGGCTATCTTACTTGTTATTGGCGTTTCCAAAATATGAGGCAAAATAGCAAGTCGCTTTAGAAAAGAAATATATTTATTAGGGTGGATTTCACAATTTAACAAACCATTATTCTGCACCAATAGGGTACGAGTACCAAACAGTCCGTTAAATATACCCAATCAGCCTCAAGATCTCTCCGTCAAATTTTTGGCAGCAAATAGCATCAAAGTATTCAAAACAAAACACTGTAAAATATGAAGTGACAGCTTGCCATTGAAATCTTTTCAGTTTATTAAATATTATGAAATTATGTAAAACTGAGCCAAAATTTTTAAAAATGCTTGATGTCTGAGTAAATCTATTTTTTCAGATTAGCTGAAGGTTTTTCCATGTTTACTGCAACTTTTGTAATCCATATGTGATTATATCACCTACTGTGTGCTTATAATTTATCCTATATTTGCAAACTTGCACTTCCAAACCCTTACATGAAAAAGCCTTTTCACTCAAATTTTTGTTAGGTGTTGCATTTCAACACATTCATACACTTCTTTCCAGTTCCTCAACGATATTTTAACCCCACTGGTCCGAAACTGTTCAACAGTTTCAACATTCATACATACAATTGCAGTTGCAGTTTTTTGTTTTAATTTCAGTGTATAATCAGTCGCACCATCGGTGATGGTACATTCAAAATAACCACGTATTTAGGGGTTCGTGCAGATTTAACGTGTACACGACAGTATAATATGTATTTCTTCACAAAAAAATCTTGGAGGGAGCACTTTATACGGAAATTTGTTGTTAAAAAATTCCATTTTTCACACATAACAAAACAAGTGATCACAAAACATAGAATACAGTGACGTTGGAGAAGGAGAATAGACCAAAGGAGATCTGAATTGACATTTGAAATTAGCGTCTCATAATGTTAGTGATGGGAGAATACATTTGCGATCAATGGAATGTATTGGAACGGTTAAAAAATATGAATTGAATCGTTTTTACGGTATCTCGACTGAAAGACTGGAATATCTGCTCTGTTTCTGTACATATTTTTTGTGGTATTGTTGCATAAAGTAGTTGGTTCACGAACTAGTTCCTAGAACTGAACGCAACTTAATGAAACGAACTGGAAAGCACATCACTTTTTCAAGTAATCCAAGAAGGGACAAATTGTCATTTCATCAAACTAGTGATGGGAGAATCGAAAGCCTGAGATTCGCTTTGCTTCTGTGGCTCAGAGATATAGTGTTTTCTTCTGATAAAACTAGCGCAGTTTTTGTGTTTAAAATACTCTACCTTAGTTAATACCTTTGATCCTAAAGTTGCTCCCATTACAATATTAAACAACTCTCATGTCGTGTCGGGTATTTCGAAACGATGTCAAGGACCGGCAGGGGAAAATCTTCCTCTGAGAACTGAAAATCATTAAACGCGCTGTTTTCAGTCTATTTTATTCTATCCCTTGGGGACGTACATAATGAAGAAAAGACTACATTGCTCAGTGGCCACTCAGTGGCCACTCAGTGGCTCAGTGCTCGTCTGTAATGATAATATTCAAATACTACCAAACACCTAAATAGCTTTCTGGCCTTTTCAATTTCGAAGCTACCAGTCCTCGCTTAGAGATGGTAGCACAGTTAAGGATAGACTCGGGGTATACGGTTACGGATGTTTATGATTCCTCTCGATATCGATATATCATCATGAAACCATCGATGCGTAAAGATCGATGTTCTACGTCCGATGTATCGATGTTTTCGATACATCGATGTATCGTCTATCGTCGCCATCCCTATATTGTATACCCACCAGTCACCAGTCAAAACCTGAACATCCAATATTTTATCACTATTTATAATTCTTTTTAGCTCTTATTTATCAGTAATTACTAATAATTTTAGGCCTATGTCTACAGTAATTGCATTATGCACCTCGGAGATGTAGGGATTAACATGTTTTACACATATCGGTGTTTTAGGATGGGGACGACATACTGTTTTGATTGCTTTGAAGAAATTCATTAACCCATGAATTTATAACAAATGATTACTATTATGATGTAAAGAGAGATGAGGAATTGGTTGGAATACATTTTATATTCTATTTTCTTGCAAATCCGCACAATTAAACAGGTATGTGTAGCTATAATGATCACATATACACACAGTATATTGAACTTAACAAATTTCGAGATTGCCATGAATTAACAAACGACCAAACCTGCTGCCAAATTTAACAGCTAGAATATCGACCTATTATTTCTCCCATTCCCATTCGCTGAGGAGATAACGGATGGTCAAATGTACACCTATAACGTAAATCAAAATACATGAAAGTTGTCCGGTTTTCTCTGTACAAAAGCATCATGTTCGAATCAAAAAGTGGTCTTGTTTATAATACAGACAAATTTTCACGATTTTATTCAACATTTTAATAGAAATCATTGATATTCTGAGACCTTTGACAGCTTCCGTCAAATTGCATTTCGATAAGGTATTTTCCTATAATAATACTGTTGGTGAAATCGGCCCTTAGAAAAATTGTACCAACAAACAAGACAAAGATTTAAAAGTTAGACAACTGCAAATGACAAATGATCTAGGTGCGTTTGGAAAAACTCACTAGTCAAGAAGAGGGTGGATTAGATTTTTATATTGCATAGCCTTGCATATAAGTTTTAATATTAACGCCGCATCGGTGGCGCGTGGCATAGGGTACCCTATCTCCAATTTCAGTGGTTATACTTTCGAATTGGGGATAACTAGAGCTATGCGCATCCAGGTAATCTTCAATAGTAGTGCGCAACGTATTAGTGTAGAGCTCACTGTTTTGTATGTGACGCTCTGATTTTAGTTGGCCTCGAAACTAGCAGTGGGGTTACTCAATACCCCACGCCACCACTTCCTAGATACTCGTGTTTTACCCGTTTATTTCTTTTGTAAGTTCTTACTGGCTAGAACTACTCGAAGGTGGCCTTTGGCAATTTTTATAGCGGCAATAAATGCTTTGAATTTGTACCTGATAAATGGGAATCTTGTGAATGTAATCGGGTGTAATTTTTTGAAAAATCTCGCAACAGAACTTGTTAGACCGTGCATAATGCGCAGGATCTACAACCACAATGCACCGAGGGCCACTCGCAGGAAAGCACGCAATTTGCTACGAGTACAACAATAATAATGATAATAATAAATGAGAGGTATGAATAAAAACGAAGTAGATGCTTATACTACAATTTTAAGAATCTACTTCAAAGTAAATACTTCGCCATGAAGTATCCAATCAGTTCCGGTAGTATTTGCTTTACGTCGAAGTACTTACTATCGTGCCTGTAGTATCTATTTTTATTCCGAAGTAAATGCTTTAAATTGAGTAGCATCTTCTCATTTTCACAAGTTTCGACAGGTCACACTTGTTGTTTTATTTTATTTGAAATATTCACATACTTGGTATTGTACGGCACGCGCGTTAAAATGTCTTCCGACGAGGAAATGCCAAATCAAGAAGAGTCCCAAAATGAAGATTTGCAGTTAGCCTTTGTTACGATGTTAGAAGACTACAAAATTATTCTGGATAAAAAAATGACACCTCCCGTTAAGTCTGCCAAAGACAAAGCACTTAAAGAATTCACAGAGACGTATAACAGAAATACAAAACAAAATTTAGATGCAAAACAGGTATTAAAAAAAGTTAATAATATGAAAAGTAAAATTAAAAATATTACCGATATGAAGAAAACAGGAAATAGGAAAATTAAGTTAAATGAGTGGCAAAAAAAAATTTTCAACCTATGGAATGGGAGTGAGAATCCAGTAATTCAACAAGTGCCAGGTACTGTATTATTTGATATTATATATTTTTTCTTCAAACGTCAGTAAATCATTTATTGCTTGACTTGTATGCGGCCACGAAGTTTTATTTTTCATCAGCCGGAGCTTCACTTTTTACTTTTCCGCGATTAATTTCTTGACATTTGAAGAAAAACAGCATATTTTACTTGGAGGAAAAGTTAATTTTCATGGCTGTCTAATTCAGGCTCGTCATAAAATCACTTTTCCTCCATATAAAATCATAATACTATTGTGGTGCAAAATTTTTAATTTAATAATGTTTTAGGAGGTGTAACTGCGGGCACCAGTCAAGACGTTGATATATCATTGACCGATGAAGAGAATCAAATACCTTTTTGTGATGATAAAGAATTAATGGCTAAATTACGAAAAAAATTACTACTTCAACAAATCAACACTGCCGCAGCTCAAGAAAAAGCTGCTATAGCTCAAGAAAAGGCCGCTCTAGCTGTCGAAAGGGCCGCAGGAGCTGTAGAGCAATTCGTAGAAGATTACTTTGCACGACAACAGGCGAGCTTTTGAATTCATTTGGATTCAAAAATACCTACTGATTAATATGTTTTTTTTTTGTTAAAAGAGAAATAAGGTTTATGTTTATTGTTTGTATAACATGTTTATTAGGTTTAATTATTTTGTCAGAACCTTCATAAAATAAATATGTATAAAATCCAAACAATCCAAATATTTATTTACTTTTTCAACGCTGTCTGTACATTAGTGTTGCAATTTCATTTCTAAACTGGATACCTCGGCGTCGGACTTCACCGTTGTTTGGTTCGGCATATAATTCAGGCATAACTGCTTCTTCTTCTATGTTCATTTCATCAAAATGTTCATCTGGATCGTTCAAAAACTTTGCACAATTATGTAAAATAAATGCACACATAATATATCGACATGTTCTATCTGTTTTAAGTCGGATTGTATAATTCAACATAGGAAATCTTGTTTTTAACTGGCCAAAGCATCTTTCTATAATCACACGTTCACTTGCATGTATTCTGTTAAAATACTTTTGAATGTTTGTTATGGGATCTTTGAAAGGTGTAAGCATCCAAGGAGTTACACCATATCCAGAATCACCAAAAAGACAAACTCTTTTTTGATTATTATACATAATAGGGTAAATAGGACTATTGTACCATATTCTAGAATCATGAACAGACCCAGGCCAGGAAGCATCAACACTGGTAAACATTTCTCTGCTATTACATGTTGCTTGTACATTTATTGTAGAAACTCCTTTTCTGTTAATATATTCATCGCCATGTACATATGGTTTTATAATTTTCACGTGAGTGCAGTCAATGGCGCCAATGACATGAGGTATTGTATTATGTGCTGCCCATTCATCTTTAGCTCTGTTGAACATAGCTCCCGTAGCAGGGAATTTAACCCACTGATTTTTCTTGCTACAGATTTCACGTGATACCTGATCAATAATTTTTGAAACGGTTGTTTGATGAATCCCAACATCAAGTCCAACGCCTAGCTGAAATCCAGGGTCTCCTGAAATAAAGATATAAAAATTAGATTATTTATGCTATTTCATTTATTGAAACATACCTAAGCTTCTTAAAAATACTTCCATTTGTTGGATGTGTGTAAGAGCACCGCCTCGAGTTTCATTTACTTCTGGGAGAAATATATTCGCTAGGTAAGATACGTTTTCTCTACTAAACCTAAAAGAATAAACAATTTTAAAAGTAATTAAAAACAATAATAATATTATTGTTAAATTACCGAAATATTTTATGATATAAAATATCATTATGATAGCGGCGTCTTGCATTATATATTTTTCTGCTGCGTATTCCTTCCATTTTCAAAGAAAACTAAACAAAACTAACCGTAGTATTCTCTCTGAAGTTGCACTTATACCAACTTCGCAAAAGTCAAGCATATACTAAATTCCTCTTCAAATTAGTAGCATCTACTACAAGAAGTAGGTACTTTCAGTAAATACTACTTGATATAGTAAGTTCCGGTAAAACAAAAAGTATCTACTTGAAAATGTAGCTTCTTCTCAGATTTGAAGTACATACTTTGTAGAAAATGCTAATACTTGTAGTATTAGAAGGTACTTCATTTTTATTCATACCACCCAATGTCTTTATTAGCAACACAACAATAGGGCGAAGCTTAGCCAGTTGGCTACTCTTACACCCAACCCTATTGAGTGCTTAAATATATATATATATATATACACAATTAAACGTCACATACATGCAACCTAAAACTAAATACATCGATCTGGCATTCAACTATGTGAGCTAATAATAAAGGGAATAAATACAATCAATTGATAAATACTGAACGGATGACAACACAAAAAAAACATAAAGCTAATAACAACTAATTATGATACATCTAACAGCTGATTTTTAACCAGCTTCCTGAATGTTACTACACTTTTGCTTCTCCAGACAAGGTCGATTGAGTTGTATGACCTCACAGCATTAAAAGTGAAACATTTTTGAAACAATGCGGTGTAGTGCAAAGGCATTGTCAGATTATTATTATGCCTCAGATCTCTAAGATTAATGATACTTCTAGTTACCAATTTACTATGGAGGTAGATGGGCTTTTTAGTACACAATATCTTATGCACAAATACCTTAAGACTATATTCAAATTGTTGATCCATTTTCAGCCATTTCAACTCCTGGATCTTAGAGGAGACATGACTATATTTTCGAAGACCATAGACAAACCTACAGCAGTTGTTTTGCATTCTTTGGATCCTACACCGATTCATCGAGTCAAGACAAGGATAGTATAAGGTTAAAGCGTAGATGAGGCTCGACATTATCAAACTTTCAACTAGCTTCTAATGCGTTTTAAAGTTCAAAATGAATCTATTAACGTATAGCAGTCTTAATTTGATGTCGGTGGACTTCGATAGATGACACACATGTTTGTCAAATCTTAAACTAGACTCGAAGATGACACCATGATTTTTTGCTTGTTCCACAATAGGAATGAGCTCGTTGTTGATGCTCAATACAATTCTGTCCCTTACTCTATTATGCAAATATTTAGGATAAAAAAGTATGCAACTACTCTTATCTGGATTAATCTTCACCATGTGTCTTTTACAAAAATCAGAGATGTTGGCAAGATCACAATTTAGAAATTTTAATGAAGACGGAGGAGCTCAAGAGAGGCAAACAGGCCGCTGTCATATATGTACCCGAAAAAAAGATGGATGGCACTCCTTCACTAGTTTACTATTGGCACCACGGATATCTCAGCTTTTGGGAAACGGTCATGAAAATAAAGGAGCTTTTTGGTATCCAGTCATATTTTGTCCTACCAATTTTATTCGATAGTTCTCGACCTCTTCATAAAAATTTCTATTGGGCATAAGACCAGAAAGATCCCGTAACACAAAGTTGTAAAAAGCTACCATTAGTCTAAGGAACTATGAGTATGGGTACTTGATGAATGTTGAGGTTGATTTCGTATTCATGACTTTGTTTTCTAAGGTCAAGCTATTTTTTTGCAATAAAATCGAATTTTTCTGCAATGTAGTGTATACAATATAGACGCTTTGGCACGCATCGAGAGCATCACTTGGTAGTCACTTCGAGATCAATGACTTGATAATGTTCCGAAATAAGCATGTTTAACTTGAGATCTATCATCAGTTGAACACAGTAAATCTCACTATAAGCCGTTATGATATGCCCAATTTTACTGGTTATCACTTTGACCTTGAAATCTTCGTGAAGGTGAAATTATTTATCAATTCACGCCTTATAGTCGGAAAGAACATGTTTTACTAACAATAAGAGGTTGTCAGGACTAGAATACGGATTTCCAAAAGAAAAACCTGTGGGTAGGTCTTGGCCCCTCAACTCATGCCTCATCAGCATTTGGTCTTATACGTTTTTAGTTAACGAGAAATTATACAGTAAAAATGCCACTAAAAGCTATGTAAGTTCAAAAATGTTTTTTCGAAGCCGTAATGTGGCGTATTAGCTTGATTTTAATGCGTTTTGAATTTAGTGTTAATACAACTTCTTTTATATACTTTTATTATTATAACAGTATTGTACTTCACATTTTCTTATGCTTATAGTAATAATGTACTGGTTGTATTGTAATTATATTAATTGAAATTACTATAAAATCTTTAAATCAGAGGAAAATACGACGCATAAAGAAAGCTCTTAGCATGGATATTTTTCTTTCAAAAGTTAGCGGGTGACAGTAGAATTGAAATGCCTAAATATCAGGATACCGAGGCTGCTATGAAGATCCAGAAGAAATTTGAATCTGAATTTTGAACTGCCCAAGGTTAGTAGAACAAAGTCTCCTATTGTGGATTGTTCCACAATCTCTATACCCTCGGAACAAAGGAACGGTCGTATCGGCCAGTTCTAGATGTACGAGGTTCGACAAAGTTAGGATGGGAGGCCGAAGCCAGGCGGGTCTGTCTGGCAGGCACATCGCGAGGCCGCATCATGGCAGAAGCACCCCTAACAGCTGCTGCTATTGACAAGGACGCTTTTTCTTCGTATTGGAAGCATTAATCTGTACAAGATTGTTGCATCCCCAAGCAGTGATAACCTCCAGGACTCTCGTCAGAGAGGAATTAGCTGCTAGTCTTCTTACTCCCAGCCTACCGGCAGAGATCGGCTTGACGCTCTCTGGATTCCTGCATGTAGAGTGCTGTCATTAGAAGAACCGTGGGTTGGGTTGATCGTACCGGAAAGGTCGTTGATATGTAAGAATAAGAGTGTCGGAGCCAAGACTCATCCCTGGGGAACACCCGGACTCATTTTCCACAAAGCGAGTGGAAACAACTTAAACTCTACTTGGTAAATGTACTGTTTGTAATGCGATGTGTACTTTTGTCGTCAAGTTACAAATCATTGTGAATGTTACTTTATTAGGTCCAAAGGCCAATAATATAACATTTTTAAGCTACATTCTGTGTTTCATCTTCAATGAGGTGTTACTTCCGTGTCACAAATTACAGAGAGAGAGAGAGAGAGAGACAGAATGTCGTCTTGCAAACCACATAGTTTTAAGGGTGCAAATAGTCCTTATACGAGGATCTTTGTGAGCGGCCATCTATGGAGGAATAGCTAAACTACACGCATTGTTGGTTGCATATGTTTTGTGAAGGCGAGTATTCTATAGTTTTCGTCTCTGAGAAGAAAGTTGGTTGAATAACAAGATCGCATCTGGATGATTGTATGTATTAGTCTGCATATCTATAAAATCGGTGATGTTTGCTGTGTTAGAAAATCTTTACTGAATATGCTGCCAAAGGAGCGTTTCTATTAGTTGTACCCGACGAGTTATTTATATGTTGTCCTTTTTGAAGATAGGTTCAAAGTTATCAATTACGATTTTTACGTTTTTTTTTTTTGTTTTCAAGAACTTTGAGGAGAATTACAAACAATCACCACTGCGTCCGCGCTGTATGTAAATTATTTGTAGCAATTCGACAGTGTACAGTTTACATAATTATTTCTTACCTCTCTCATTTTTGAAATTCAATTCATTTGCATAGGTAATTTCCAGAACAGATAAGAAAAAGTTGATTTGCAACTAATTTACAGCTTTGAATCTCAAGTAAGTGTCGTTAAGACTAGAATCCAACGCAATTACCATCAACACATATTATTAGCACACATCCCCACTATGCACCTATGGATTACCGTTTTCTTCTAGCTATATAGCGTAGATCCCCGATAATGCCATCTCTGAAGCAGTTTTACATCACATGAGTTAAATATTGATAATTGGGGCCTCATGACGTTTAGGCAACACGTAAACTGCAGAACGAGTCCACAACGTAGGTATCCATCAGCTAGTATTAAGCTAACATCTTGTAGAAAAGCCTACATAATGTCAAAAAAGCAATATAATGTCAAGAAAAATACGGAATACTTGTGCCGATGCCTCCTAAAGTCACATTTCCAAACACCGCTGCGTCAGTAACAAGCCCGGGGCGCGTTTATTGCCACCTCAGACACCTGCCTACCTGCGTGTTGAAAAATGACTGTGGGGCCCGGTGCGGCAGGGCGAGAGACCATTGTAGGAACAGAGGGAGCGGGGATAGTATAGAGGCGTCTTCGGTTGTATTATCGCGCCGAAATGAACCTTTAATTGTTCGATAGTTATCGGAAGAATTGAAGAAAGAGTTCCCTGACAGCTGGCAGTACGGCTCCTT